GTCGTCGGCGTCGTCGTCGTAGTAGCAGTAGCAGTAGCTGTGGCAGTAGCAGTAGCAGTAGCAGTAGCAGTAGCAGTGGCAGTAGCAGTAGCAGTAGCAGTCGGAGTAGTAGTAGTAGTAGTAGTAGTAGTAGTAGTTGTTGTTGTGGTAGTAGTAGTAGTAGTAGTAGTAGTAGTGGTAGTAGTAGTATAGTAGTGGTGGTAGTAGTAGTAGTAGCAGCAGTAGCAGTAGTTTTGTCACCCACTTGGCACGACTGAGTGAGCACTGGGTCACGACGGTCGAGGAGGCAATCCAGACAAGCGTGTCACTTCTTGGAACACACAACTCGGCGTAGGACACACTTTGTCCGGAGGAAAAGCACTCTCAACTCGCAGATTGTCAATACATACGAGTCAACATGCAGACAAGTCAAAGCCAATTTAGTTCAGATTGCAACAAGAACCTCTGCAGTACTCAAAATCATGCGCTTGTCAGAAGCACCGTAACATCGTAGCAGCAGTAGCAGCAGCAGCAGCAGGAGGAGGAGGAGTAGTAGTAGTAGTGGTGGTAGTGGTAGTAGTAGCAGCAGTAATCGTCGTCGTCGTCGTGGTGGTGGTGGTGCTAGTAGTAGCAGCAGTAGCAGCAATATCAGTAGCAGTAGCGATAGCGGACAGTAGCCGTGGCAGTTGGAGTCGCAGCAGTAGCAGCCGCAGCTGTAGCCGCAGCCGTAGCAGGAGCAGCAGCTGCAGGAGCAGGAGTTGGAACAATAGGAGGAGGAGGAGGAGGAGAGGAGGAGGACCAGGAGCAGTAGTAGCAGGAGTAGCTGGAAGAGGATAGATCAAAAACAGCAGCAGCAGCAGCAGCAGCAGCAGGAAAAGTAGTAACAATAGTAACAATCGCCGTAGAAGTATAAGAAGAGATCAAAGCCACAATTCATCATGCCAGTGGCATGGAATTATTTTGATGGTAAGGCATCATTGGACTTCTGACGATCCGGAAACATGCGGTGCCTCACCGAAAGCCAAATGCCAGAGACAGCTTGGCTCAGGCACTGGCATGATTGCAACGGGGGAGGTGATCTTGTCTATCTTCTCATAATTCCTGACGGCACTAGACTGGTCTACTGCGGCCAGGCAACAGCGCACATACTGTTGGCACGAGAACCGCTCCTGAATATGTCCAGGTGGTAGCCTAGAAAAGAGGTGACGTGACCAAGCACGGCTCTCGCGCCACTTTCCAAAGGAGACTGTAGAACGACCTTGGCATGCTTGTCTGTTGGCTGGCTGGCATGCGTGTGCGAAATCCTTAGCCGCCCACGCCAGCCGCGTTCAGTGGCGAGTGTTGTGAGCCTTCCACTTCCTTGCGAGACCTGAGAGGCTTGGCCGCTCGAGGGAGAAAGGCTGAGCTAAAGAGACAGCGCAGCGCAAGGCAAAGAAGCGCACGCGAGGTCCACAGACGGGCCAGAACCAATGGATCTTCCGAAGATGATAATCTGCAGGCCGGCACTCGCTGATCCTACACTAATGGTCCAACCTACCAGCACATGTTGTGTCTGGTTCCTGTACCTTATTGTTCTAAAATTTCGGCTTCAACACTCAACTGCAGACCCAGCCTGCTGCGGAGGTATTTTTTGCATGTCGACCAAGTAACGCCATGCAGCATCAATGCTTCGTAGGCAGGCTGCCTGGAGATGCCGATGGGGAAGGGGAGCATAATGAACTAAAACCCCTCACATGAGCCCTAACTCTAAAACCTAAACCCTAAGTCCTAAAGCAAACTAAACCTTAAGTCTTGCAAGGCTGCCTCCGAGGGCTGGCAGCCTTGAAGCTTGGAGAGGGAATAGCCCACGTACTCATAGCTGAAGACATCCGCACCGGTGAAGTGAGCCAGGGAATCAATGTATTCTAGGTGAAGCCCGAGGTCCTGCATCTATGGAGTTCTTTATGGGGCGCTGACGGCAAGAGCAGCAAGATGCAGCCACTCCGGTCGCCTCCGCATTGCCATGGCTGTAAAGCAGAGTCCTGAACAAAAGCAGAGCCGCTCTTACTCGGGTCATTGCAAAACAGCCACCACGAGTCCACGAGGCCCCGGCTTGCCGGAAGAACCTCCCCTCACGTGGCAGGCCGGAATTCGCTCCTCCCAGCTTCTGGGTCTCTGCGAGCTCAGACTCTGTGAGAGCAGCTGGCCCAGGCGCCTTGTTAACTGTTTCCAACCAAACCAGGTCCGGGCGCGTCTTTAGCTCATCCTGCCGCAAGCACTTCTGCAGTTGCACTCTCGAGGGAACCCAAGTGGCAGGTCCTCATAGAATTGGCGCGGCAAGTTAGGGGCCGGAAAGGCCAAAGTGTTGATTGCTCCACCCATGCTTCTGATGACGGTGGACGGGAAACAGATCCAACAAACAACACGGCTGAATCGAAAGAGTGACCTTATTTATCAGTAGCTGTGTCACTATCGTGACGTCAAGCTCCATGAGCTGTTGAGTGTCTCTGGCTGGAGCCCTTCCGCAGAAACACAATCTCGGGCCACCGACGGGCTTCTTCTTCTAGTGAAACGCTAGTGAGAGAGGCACAGTCACCTACAAGCAGCCAGCCGAAGCATTGTATCCCAATCACGCTCGTACTAGGGTTCCCCAGAAGCAGATGAAAGGACACTATGTCTTGCTACCTTGCATCATCATAATCATACCATGGTTGCCCCATCTTTTCTTGTCATGCTGCGCATGGAGTTCGCAGGCAAGGCGTCCCAGGCAGGCCCAGTCTAGGGTCGCAGTCAGTACATCAGGAGCCTCCCAGTACAGTTGCTTCTGGCTGCCGAAAAGGCTGTGTATCTGATTCCCACTTTGATACCCAGTGAAGGAAAATAGCTGTAGCGAGAACCTTATGGGTGTCAGTGCTATGCTCCCATTGCTATCCATGTCGCTGTTGCTGCCGTGATTACATGCTCTAGCGGTTGTGACTGACCAGTCCCAATAGCAACGGTACTCCTGACATACTACCAGGACTAGAACGACTATAACTATAAAGATGGTGCGCGCAATCGTTGCATCTTGTGCTGCCGATGTCGTTGTCTCTTGTTGCTGTTCTTGCTAGCGCTTCTGCCAGTGTCGTAGCGGTTGTGCCGGTAGTAGTAGCACTACTACTACGACGACGACTACTACTACGACTAGCAGCAGCAGCAGCAGCAGCCTTAGTAGTAGGGTGAAGGATCAAACAACACAAAAATGCATCAAACAAACAAACAAAAAAGACTCAATACAAAACCAAAAATGAATCAACAATTAAATAAAATCCTGTCTTTGGTGGTGTTGTTGGTGCTGTTGTTGCTGTGGTTGTTGTTGATGCTGCTGTAGCAGTTGCAGCTGCAGCTGCATTTGCAGTTGCTGCTCTTGCTGGTGCGTTTGCTTCTGATTGTGTCTGTGTGTGTGTGTGTTTGGTTGGCGTTGTTGTGGTTGTGGTGATGGTGGTTGCGGTTGTTGGCATTGCCGTTGATGTTGATGTTGTTGTTGCTGATGATGTTGCTGTTGCTGTTGCTGCTGTGATTACATGCTCTAGCGGTTGTGACTGACCAGTCCCAATAGCAACGGATACTCCTGACATACTACCAGGACTAGAACGACTATAACTATAAAGATGGTGCACGCAATCGTTGCATCTTGTGCTGCCGATGTCGTTGTCTCTTGTTGCTGTTCTTGCTAGCGCTTCTGCCAGTGTCGTAGCGGTTGTGCCGGTAGTAGTAGCACTACTACTACGACGACGACGACTACTACTACGACTAGCAGCAGCAGCAGCAGCAGCAGCCTTAGTAGTAGGGTGAAGGATCAAACAACACAAAAATGCATCAAACAAACAAACAAAAAAGACTCAATACAAAACCAAAAATGAATCAACAATTAAATAAAATCCTGTCTTTGGTGGTGTTGTTGGTGCTGTTGTTGCTGTGGTTGTTGTTGATGCTGCTGTAGCAGTTGCAGCTGCAGCTGCATTTGCAGTTGCTGCTCTTGCTGGTGCGTTTGCTTCTGATTGTGTCTGTGTGTGTGTGTGCGTGTTTGGTTGGCGTTGTTGTGGTTGCGGTGATGGTGGTTGCGGTTGTTGGCGTTGCCGTTGATGTTGATGTTGTTGTTGTTGTTGATGATGTTGCCGTTGCCGTTGCTGTTGCTGTTGCTGCTGTTGTTGCTGTCGTTGCTGTCGTTGCTGTCGTCGCTGTCGTCGCTGCTGCTGCTGCTGCTGCTGCTGTGGTTGCTGTTGTTGCTGTTGTTGCTGTTGTTGCTGTTCATGTTGCCGGTTGGATTTTGTTGGTTGTCGTTCGTTGCGGGTGTTGTTGTTGTTGCTGGAGTTTTTGCCCCACTGCCGTTGTTGTTCACGTTTGCACTATTGCTATGCTTGAGATGCCCTTCAATCATTATCACGCATCACTGTCTGATACATAGTCCTGCGTAGGAGACGGTGGCTGTGACTTGACGACTTGCCCACTTGCAACCGCGAGCAATTAAGGGGCAGGCCTCGTGCGCTCAACAGAATCTTAGCAGGCACAAGAGCATGGCAAACACTGGGATGCAGCTTTCGGCATAAAGCTGACTCATCACAATAGGCATGTAGTCGAATAAGGATGGCACAGCCAGTCCGTGACAGTCCGGTGCATCGGCAAATTTAGTCAAGTTCTGCGTCGTTGAGATCAGTGACGGAACCGTATAGATAGCCTTGGGGTGGTTGAAGTACTTGCACATCGTCAAAGCATGAGGCGTTATTGCGCCGGTCCCGCCGGAAACAAGACACGTGCATTCGACATGCCACAAATCCCTGCAGCTTTGGCGCTCCGGCCGAGGCGTCCGTCAAGTAAAGTTGGGTTGCACCTTCAGGGACACTCTGTTAGCGACGCATCTGTAAGCGAGCAAAATGCTGGAAAGCATTTTGTGATGGCTCGGGGCGCGCACCATCCCAAGCTATGCTCATGGGGTTCCTGAGGCGAGCTGGACTTGCAGCGCAGCGGCGGAATTACAGCAACGACTTCGCAGGTTGATCCCTTGGTGCTACTCTGACGCAGTGTCCCATTTGGCCCGATATGTTTCCGGCAGGCGTCCACTGCAGTGAGATGGCTGGAGATATGAGGCCAGCCGAAGGGTCCGAGACCTGCAAGTGAAGTAGACACGGCCTTTGGATCTTAGCGGAGTCAACTGCAGGCCTTGCTTGTTGTCGTCTTGCTTTGTCCATAGACCCCTTCTGGCGATAGCCAGAAGACTTCAGTACCAGAGGTGGTAATGCCTCGAACCTTAGCGGACATATAAAACCCTTCGTGATCTGCAGGTCGCTACATGTCTCGCGAAGTGGCTTCATCCACAGAGTCGGTAAGAGTTGACACGAACATATCCTGCAATGGATACAGCTGGGAACCGCAGCTGTACGCAGACTCTCTCCACTCTTGTGTGGCCTGTCTCTCCACCCCGGTGTCCTGTGACGACATGCCGATGTTCGCCCGTGTTCCTTTGTTCACGGCGCCATGCTCTTTGCCACCAGCCTGAGCACAGTTATTGTAAGAAACGCGTGCGGTCACACCTGCATACATCAAGGAAATGCTTATATCGTGACAGCAAGAGCTATAGCTTCAGCAAAACCTTAATTGCAGCATGAAGTCCTTGACTCGCGAGAAGGCAATGCTCATGTTTGTGTTTTGCTGTGCATGCGTGTGAGCGCAAAACTACATGCAAAGGTCTCATCTTCTTCTGGCGCCCGCATCACAAGCCACAGTGCGTCTCCAGGTCATCTTCTAGTTTTGGGCATCGTGTGCTTGCCCTACTGTCTTCCGGACCTTTTTCATCCATGTTGATTCTAATGATGTCCTTGCTGGCTTGCCACACTAGTCACCAGCTCTTCTTCTAGTCGCTTTTGATCCCGATGTATTACACTCCTGCTACACACTTTGGTGCAGGGCGGGCCAGGTGCCTTGTGCTAGCATCCATGCAGTGCGATTCGCATGACGTTGTGTTGCAGCTCACGGTCTCATGAAGTGGCCTCTTGCGTAAACTGCCTACTCAGACATACATAGCTCGGTCTTTGCTTTGGGTGCAATTCTCCCAATGCGCGCAGTGTGACGCCCCATCCATCATTTTGGTGGGTGGGCTTGGCTCTACATGAACCGTGGGGTGGTTTGAGAGTCGGGTCCCCCTTTGAAGGAACAACAACAGAGTATAAAAGCATAGCGGGTTCCTCCATCTCTCGCTACATGTTTTGGTATCCTAGTATCCCACCTACCTGCCTGAGCCCTGCCTCCAACCGGGGCAACTCTTGCTTGCTTGCTTGCGTGTGGGGGTTTAGGGGCTGCAAGCAACCCCTCGGCCCGAAGGCCTGCCCCACCAGGTCCGCGCGCAACAGTGTCCTCTAGGCCCCTTCCGGGCCGGTGCGCGCGCTCTCCCCAATGAGCCGAGCGAACACCACTTCTAAACTCTAATTGACAAGTAAGGTCCTCCACAGCACACCAAGAGTTCACAGGATCTCGGCTTGAGCTATACAGCAGCACCCGACGATAGTCAATATGGTGCACAGTTTGCAGTATCAATCGCCTACGATGTTCTGATCACTGCGTCAGCTACCTCATCC